TCCTCTTATATTCTTTTCACTGCTGTCATACTCTTAAGCGAGGGTTCTTTCTTTCTGCTTCTCGGGGTTATTTTTTTTAAAAAAAATTCAAGTTCTTTATTCTGGTTACACATTGCTCACCACTTCACATACTTCGGTCCCAGCAGCTTTCCATCTTTAGGACAGCCATTAAACTGACATTTCTCCCTGTCTTCCAGGGGAGTTAATACCTAGCCAGGGAGGGGAGATGTGGCTCCCCTCGACCCAGCTGGTGGTCTCCCCCTCTTCCCCCACCCTTCCGAGGTGGGTCAGGTGGTTCTGGTCCCACAGGGACCCTTCCAACAAGATAAACACGGATCAAAGCGGTGCATGATCTCAGTCTCTGATCCATCTTTGATGGAAACGCCACCGGAAGTCGATTTAGTTGTGAACAGAAATGTTTGCAACCTGAGGTTCCACTGTAGATTCATATTGGCTTTTAGTTGGCAACATATTGACATCTCTGGGAGTATTAGAAATACTGGAAAATATGTGTTGTGTATCAATTGGAAAGAAAGCTGAGCCAAGAATACTTTTTAAAATCTATGCCTGGGATTGGGAGATACTTTCCCTTATCTCCTCTTTATATAGCATCCTTGTTAGGAATAATTTAAATAATAATGGGAGAAAATACTCAAAGACCCACAGAACCAAATCTTATTGGACTTTTGATCAACACATTCGGCTAAGTATTTCAGGTATGTTTTCTTACCACTAGGTTGGGTTTTATGGGAAAAAATATGATTTTGATGTGGAAATGTATTTTTAAGGAGAAACATTCATGGTATAATTTCTTTGTGAAAAAAATAAATAATTTATAATTAGGTATGTGCAATTTTCTTGGCAGATTTATGGAAATGGTTAGCTATTTCTTTCTGGATTTTCTTTTCAACTTCCCACTTTGCCCAACAAGCTTGGGACTTCTTGGTAGCCTTAATTCCAAGTAATATCTTGGTTGTCTTTTCAGATCAACAATGTATTTTCCCCAAGAAAGCTGGAGATGGGAAGGCTTCCAAAGCAGGTTTTTACATGAACAATACATGCCAATCCCACAATCTGATAAATGAATGAAAAGTGTGCTGAGATTTTATCCCCCCCAATCATGTGCAGGTTTTTAAACCAAAGTTTAAGTTTACAATTGGACTGTAAGTAGATTCAAGCCAAACCATGTAACTAAAAGTATTTATAGGATACAAACTTCAGCATTTGCAAATCCAGAATATGATTTGAGGCTGAAATGCTAGTATAAACTTCAGTTTTTGGCCAAAGGGACATTTGTTCACTAGATGTTTGGATTTAGTGTGTCATGCAGACACACCCTGTGAAAGAACACGGTTAAAACTGAAAGGATTGTTTTGTTTCTAAAAATGTCTGGAATGATAATAAAATCAATTCAATGTCTATATAAGGCTGGGATGGGTAGCTCACAATACACATAGGGAATGTAGATCACTTCTTTTGCTTGGTGTCAGAACACTAACACCAAGCTAAAATTTATGATAGAACACTAACTTTTGACAGTAGAACTTAATCCCGCCATCCCAGCAGGAAAATACTAATCTTCTGATAGATATTTTACAAATGTTCCTTGAATCTCAAAATTATTTTATTAAAAATAATAAAAAGACATACAATACCAAGAGAAGAGTATATATGTATCTCAAAGTTGAACTGTGGACTCTTGGTGCTACCTGAGCTTGGGTGTTTACAGGGCAGGGCAGGACAAGAAACAATAGATAGAAACTAAGCAAGAATACAAGCAACCTAGAACTAAGGAGAAATTTCCTGACAGAACAATTAATCAGTGGAACAACTTGCCTCAAGAAGCTGTGAATGTTCCAACACTAGAAGTTTTTAAGAAGAGATTGGACAACCATTTGTCTGAAATGGTATTGGGTTTCCTGCGCAAGCAGTGGGTTGGACTAGAAGACCTTCAAGGTCCCTTCCAAGTCTATTATTTTGTTATTCTATTTGCTTGTAGACATTTTATTACTAGACTAGGTAACATCTTTCATGCTTCAGTGCACTCATTTGTCTGAAATGGTATTGGGTTTCCTGCCCAAGCAATGGGTTGGACTAGAAGACCTTCAAGGTCCCTATTGTATTTGCTTGTAGACGTTTTGTTACTAGACTAGGTAACATCTTTCATGCTTCAGTGCACTCAAAATGTTACCTAATCTGACACCACAAAAAGGAGGACCAAACATTCCAGCCTTGTTCCTTTAGAGCAGTGGTCCCAAACCTTTTTTGTACCAGGGACCAGTTTCACGCAGAAACACTTTTTAAAGGACCGGGTAGGGGCGTGAAGGTTCCAATAGCAGTAAATAAATAAGCGATGAACCCGTAACTTACCCTTTCCAAAAAAACTCTCCAGTGAACTCTGTTTCTGGCTCATTTTGCGAGGGCTAGCTTGCATTGCTGATGGAGGATAAATACGCGCCAAAGAGTCAAGCGCGGAAGTTAGGTGAGGGTGGAAGTGGTTGTCTTTCAAAATAAGACACCCGGAAGCAAAAACATATTTTTATATATATTTTAATCACGATTATTCATTCTTTGCGGCCTGGTACAAAATGATCCATGGACCGGTACCGATCCGGAGCCCGGTGGTTGGGGACCCTGCTTTAGAGGATATAATGATACCATCATTATCCTCTTTCCGCTGCTCAGAGGCTGAAATAAACAACTCTGGGTAAAATGATTGTCTGTCCTTAAGAGAAAAGACCGACAATTTAAATTTTGTGTCATTTTCCAAGGACTGCAAATTATGGCAGAATGATAGATATTATTCATATGTCAGTCTAGAGCAGTCAGCAGCTTCAGATGAGTAGCTTTGCATTGAAAAATCACAGAGGAGTCATGAACAACCATTGAATTTAATCCGGTTAGACCAGTTTCAACTTTACACCCAGAAGCTGCCATCGGAACCAAATCTGAAGATTAATGACTCCTTTTGTAAGACTATAAAGGGCACTAGTTGGATTGAGTGAAAGAGAGAAAGAGTGAGGAAGTGAGGAGGAGCAGGTATTGAAGCTATGTGGATGGCTGATGAGCTTAACTTTCTGTATATTTAAGCACAGAATAACAAGCACAATATTTTCCAGGAGATTGTCACAAGCCTGTTTTCAACTCTCACCATTTGAAACTATTAGGTAATAATAGCTAACAGAATGGCATTATTCCCATTCCAACATCTTTGGGCCACCCTCAAATCAGAGAGAACTTATGTTCTATCTGGGTGTCCAAGTTTTATGGGAAGGAACTGGGAAGGTACGAAGGTAGATAGGTAAGAAGAAAAGGAAGGAAGGAAAGAAGGGGAAGAACATGGCTGAGAAACAATATAAGTCCTAGAAAAACTCATCTACCTTTTATACTGCAAATACCTTCTCATATACCTTCTATCCCAGGGCGGTAACTCTATTAAATTCTACTGTATAGTGCAATATTAATGCAATTCAATGTATAGAATGTAAAGGATATGTGTTTGTGTTTATTTTCATAATCATAATGTATACTGAAGATGGTATTTAATTTTGTTGTACGAGGTGCAATGACAATAAAGTAAACTAAAGTAAACAATAAATACCAGTAAATTTTAAATATGTAGCACCATGACATGCATTCAAGTGAAACACCCTGCTAAGAGTGTTTGTGCCAGCAGCAAGTTTGCTTTAAAAGAAGCAATCTCTCCCTCTCCATTTTCAAAAGTACAGAACAGTAAATACATATTTAAGCAGGACTAGGCAAACTGTCAAACTGTCATTCACAAGCAAAGTGTGAATTGTAATGCCTAATAACTGTAGCTTGGAGGTTCAAGATAAGGGATGCTAACTGTGCCTTGTTATTTGCGTAGGATTTTTTTTGGGGGAGGGGGCATCCATCCAAACTCCATCAATTTATGTTGTCCTATAATAAGCCTATAATAAGCCTATAATAAGATGTGATATTGGCTATCAACTTGGGTGCTTCAAAAAGGGCTTGGATGAATTCATAAGAGTCATGGGAATCAGTGGCTGTTAGCCTTGATGGCAGTGGGGCTGCTTTGAAGATTATCTGTGGGAAACTACTGAGCTTCCTTGTGCAATTGGAAGGCCATTGTGAGAACAGACTGATGTATTGGATGGACCAGCCGTTCTATCCAGCAAGGCACTGTTTCTGTTCTTATGTCCTAAGGCAGTGTTTCTCAACCTTGGCAGTTTGAATATGTGACACTTGCTGAATGTTTGGAATTCTGAGAGGTGAAGCCCACACACATCTTCCAGCTGCCACGGTGGAGAAACATTGTTCTAAGGACTTTACTTCTTCCTTTCCCTTCTAATTTAATACTCAAGATGCACAGCCCAAGAAAATTTGCAATTCGTTTTTTTTTTTTTAACTAGCACTTTTTAATGGAAACATCCTAAGGATTCTGGGAAGGGCAAAAATGAGGTAGGTGGACAAACATAATGAATGGCCGTACCTGGCATAAAGTGTTGGAATAAAAATTTCATAAGCACATTTAGATCAATCCTTTCACAGATTAAAATCTGCTTTTGTCTCACTCTGAACATTCTTGATTCCAGAAATACAATTTAATATTTTTTTAAAGGAAAACTGTGTGTGCTACCAGTATGTTGATCAATCTTCTGCTTAGTAGATTTTAAGTCACTAACAATGTTGGGAAATTTCTGAATGGAATTTTCTGTTTGATTTCTCCTATTCTCAAATGTGCCTTGGCATTTATCATTTTCTTTTGCATTGACTTTCTGATCTAAATTTCCTCCCCAATATATTGGGTGACCCCCTCAGGAAAAAAAAGGTACTGCAGCACCTTTGGCCATAAGTTAGCTTATTTCACTTCTACAACTGCCAAGCAAAGCCATCTCTACCGGTGGGAGAAATGAAATATCTGCTCTTGAATGCTGTTTGGGGTAGCCCAATGTAGAGTGCATTGCAATAGTCCAAACAAAAGGTTACAAGGACATGAGTCACGATGAGCAAGGAAGGGGCGCAACTGGCACACCACCTGTAAGTGTGCAAAGGCTCTCCTAATCTCCTAGCCAGTGCTATCATTAGCACTGATGATGTTACCTAGTCTAGATAATGAATCATCTAAAAAAACAACAACCCAACCAAGCTCAGAGAGCATCAAGGACCCCTCATTTCAATCTTGATCTACAAATATTCTCCTTTATTAGTTCCTGTTAGGCATGCAGCTGCACAGGCAGTAGCTATGGGCCTCTCATAAGAAGGTCCGCAATAAGTGTGATGCTCATAGTGTGCCTGGTCATCTAGCCTTTGGAGAGTGTTACATGAGGAAAAAGGTATGCAAAACAGAACAATGGAGGAAAATATGATTGCTTTTCTTGCTACAACTCAGATCCTCTTGAGTTGCAATGTATATGTATCTGTTTTCAAGTGTGCTCTCGAGAGGATTAGTCTGGCTAGTATTTATTTGTTTATTTATTTATCCATCTCAGTCAATGATTCTGGATGGTTTACAATTAAAAAAATACTACAATTAAAAAAATAAAAACATTCTAAAATAAAAACAATAAAAAATAAATACAATGAATGTGCAGCAGCTGAGATACTTGGTCAGTTAACAATTAAGCCAGGAAACAGGATCCTTAACACATTCAGTGCCCCATACAACCAGGTTTTTAAAGCCTAACAAAAGACTAGCAGGGTTGGGGGCATTCCAAGGGAAGGGGCTAAGCAGAAAAGGCCCATCTTCTAATCCCTGCCAACCGACATTTTCTGGCTGACAGGACCTGCAGTGTGCCCAATCTACTAGATGGAATTTGATAGGTAGAGACCAATGGAAAAAGTTTCTGAGAGCTCTTTGGGACAATCCCATGTTGAATGCACTGCAGTACTCTAAGCAAAATGTTACAAGGACATGAGTAATTGTGAAAAGGATCTCCTATAGCAACTGGTGCACAACTTGAAGGTGTGCAAAGGCTCCTCTAACCATAGCTACCACCTGCTCTTTGAACAGAAGTCTTGTGTCAGGAAGGAGCCCTAGGTTGTAGATCTGTTTGGACGAGTGCAACTCCATCCAGAACTAAAGATGGAAGAACCTTTTCTCCAGAGGTTTATACCCACTGCCCACTTGCTAGGGTTGAGTCAGAGTCCATTTTACCTCTTCCATTTCCCCAAAACTTCCAGACACTGAGATAGGATGTCCATGCATCACTCAAAGGGCTTGAGGTAGAGATATAAATCTGGACGTCTTCTGCATAATGATGATATCTCAACCCCCAAACTGATGGACCACCACACCTAGTGGGCCCATGTAAATGTTAAACAGAAGGGGGGAGAGAACCAAACCCTGAAGCACCCTACAAAGTATGGGCAGTAGGCGGGATCTCATTCCCTGCAGCAATTACAGCAATTATGATAACAAAACCATTTATTAAGTTGCCTAAGTATGAAATGCAGTTCTTGGATGGATATGAACCAAACAAATGAGCCAAAATACAACCTGGGGCTGTTGCATACCACACATGCTGCCATGTCCACTACTGAATCTGTTCCAGGAACTGGAAAAGTACTCAGTTGTGGGTTCCTCTGTTCCATTTCCGTACTTAAGTACTATTTCTGGAATGGAGAATCCAATCCATGAAAAAATGGAGGTGGTGATAGCAAATACGGTATGGAAATATTCCTGGAGATCTGTCAATTCTTCATCACATTAAAGAAGGAAAAACATTGAAATTGTTTGTTTCCCCATTGATAATTCTGACAATTTCTGTTTTCTTTCAAAACAAAGTATTAAAAAAAATCAAAACAAACATTTTCCCAGAAGAAAGAATTGCTTTTCCTTTAAAATGTCTGCTGAGATAATAGCAGCAAAACAATAGTGGCAGCAAAGAAGGAGATGAAACTGAAACTTCCAGTAGAGGCACTGCCGCTGATACTGTTGTTGTTCACCCTGGACCAATGGGTGTCTCTGAGCTCTGGTATTTGTCTGTGGATCCATTGCTGGTAGTATGCCACTCTTGCATAAACTCCAGGACGATTCTTCTGGGCACATCCATCTCCCCAGCTCACTACTCCAGCAATAAACCAAAAATCTTCCATCCGGCAGGCCAGAGGGCCACCTGAATCACCCTGTGCAGAAAGAGCAGCGCTTAAGCAAAAACATTGGCAATGATGGAAGCAAATGGTTATTATTAATGCTGCATGTGTTACATAGGATGACGAACATGGATGGGTATGTTACTGAAAAACAGCAAACTTTGAGTACTACTTTGAGAGGTAGGGTTACCTGAAGTTGAAGAAGTCTATAGCAGATCAATTAATCTACAGGAGTTCACATTTCTGTTTCTATTTTCCAAAATGTAATAAAAGCAGAAATTCCATTTTAATGGTCCTGGTAACTGCTGAAAAGCATGGCACCAACTTCAAAAAGATGCTAAGAAACATTGTAGCAAGGATCTATGGAGATTCTCAGTCATCCAGGTCATGGTTGTCCCAAAGAGGCTTTTTCAAAAGGCAATTGGACTTTGTTTTTCTTTGAAGATATTTTGCTTCTCATCCATGAAGCTTCTTCAGTTCTGACTGAATGGTTGAGGATGGAAGGATTTAGATTTCTTGCAGTCATCTGGTCATTAGCACCAGTGATGGGATTCTAATTATTTTACTACTGGTTCTGTGGGCGTGGCTTGGTGGGTGCAGCTATGTGGTCATGTGACTGAGGGGGTTCAAAAGACAGAAATTCACTTTCTGGAGCAGGGAGTTGGACTAGATGACCTCCAGGTACCTTCGAGCCTAGATTGCTATGCTGCTTCAAAGCACCCTCTGGCGCTGCATTAGTGCCAAGGTTTGTGATCCTTCCTCTCTCCTTTTTCCCTCCCTCCCTCCCTTTCTTTCTTTCTTTTTCTTTTTTCTTTCTCCCCTCCCTCCTCTTTCTCTCCTATCCCTCCCTCTTTTTTATTCTTTCTTTTTTTCTTTTGCAGCACCCCCACATGCCCCATTTTTGGCCTGGTGGACCTCAGGAAAGTGCTGAAAAAAGAAGCATTTTGAAGCGAGGGGGGTATCAGCTGTGCAGCATGATTTAGATTAGCTAGAAAGCACGAAATCTGACTATTTCCTGCTTTCTAGCTAATCTAAATTGCACAGCACAGCTGATGGTCACCCAGCTGATAGTCAGAAATATCAGTTGAGTCAAACCTGTAGTAATACCACCACTGATTAGCACTCTTTCTAAGAGTCTTGGAAGTTTATTTATGTCCTCAGGGTAACCTGAATAGTGCAACCACACAGTCCTTTTAGCAGTTCCAAGAAAGTTTCACTCCCATTTGCATTATTCAGGTGGTCCTGAGGACACAGATAAAGCTCAAGGTGGCCTCAATGACTCTCTGAAATAGTGCTAATGACCAGATATGTGCAAGGGATATAAATCATTCCATCCTCCACCATTCAGTCAGAATGGAAGAAGCTTCTTGGATGAGAAGCGAAATGTCAAAATCTCGTTGCCTTTTGAAAAAGCACCTTTGGTACATACTAACCAAGGATGACCTAACTATTACTGGTCTACACCTTATCATTAGCATGGAATATGGACCATTATGGATCATTAGCATGTAATATAGTATGGAATATGGAATATGGAATATGGACATGGATATGGACCAAAGTTTAATCCAGTTTTCATCTTCACTATCCTACTAAAAAGACACATAAGAGTGAGATGAAAATTTTCTTTTTATATTTGTATGTGTATGTGTGCCTTTCAGATAACTAGGAACAGTAAAGATACCATATTTAGGCTTCAAAAATCAGGATACTCACCTGTAGGCAACAAAGATAATGCTAACATTTGGCTATTATATGGTGATTATACAGAGTTTTACAGTCCAACTATCCTTACTAAAATTATTGTGGAATTAAATCTTGACAGCAAACGAAGAAACCTCATGAACTGTACGTGTATATTCTAATATTTGAATAAAATCCAGCAAAATCTTACCTGACAAGCATCCCGTTGTCCAGCTGCAAAGCCAGCACATATCATATCTTCTTTAATTTCTCTTGAGGCCCTGGGCTGTCTAGAGTCTTGGCGGTAGAGTGTGTTGCATTTTTTGGTGCTGATTATGGGAACTTCTAGCTTTTGTAGTATATCAGAGTTCTCCCGTCCTTCTGCAGAGAGAATAAATTAAAATATTTCATTTAAAGGAACACAATAAGGTCTAAAATCCACCTGAAAATTTTTACAGTCTTTCTAGAGATTAAGGTTTGCACATGGAATTTCACGTTTGATTCTTATATAACTTAAATTGACCTTAATTCTTCACCTAAAAAAATCATTTTTCAATTTACTACCCTCTCTATACAGTAGCTCTGGATAAATAAAAAAGATTTTTGCAACACAATTTTGTATATGCCACCTTTGGGCCTTTATCAGATAGTAGGTGAAGATAGTATGTTGTTAAATAATGGCTACTCCATAACTTTATGTGATGCTCTACATGCACAATACATATACACATGCACATACACACATATGTATAAAATTATTGTACAACATAATGTTAGATTCATTTCATATGTGTAAAAATGCACATATATAAAAAATGCAACTATCTTTAAAACAAAAATAATGCCCTTGTTTGCTCTTTTGCACTTCAGTCAATTTTACGCCTTCTCTTTAAAACGCTGCTAAAATAAAAGATTACTAAAATTGCTTTATATAAAAGATACTGAATGATAAAGCAGTGGAATCCATTGCTTTATTTTTTTTAAACAAAAGCCCTCAGCTAAATAGGGAAAGCTAGATAGATAAGGAAGACAATAAGACAGACAATACTATAGTTATCATGAAGGATCCTAGGTGTGTTCCGAACTTGATTTTTTTCTTGCAGATGTTTTATTCTCCAAACTAGGTAACATTACCAGTGCTATAGTTAGCATGATAATGAAAAGTTTCTGTTGGTGTCCTCCAAACGTGTTACACTTAGCTATTTCTGAACCATGGAGACTAGGGACACTACAGGTGATGAAATCATATCACATATCAGAAGTTGCCCAAACAGACCAAATGTGAATATTATATATAGTAGAAGTTCTGTAGGTCCACTTGTCTTTCCACACTTACCTTTGCTTCGAATGTTCCCCCAGCCAGTGACCCAACACTTCTGTCCTGGGAGGAATTTGACATTGGCATTGGGGACACAGATGGGACTGATCTGTTGGATAAGAGGAAGTCGCTGCTCCAGCTGGATGAGTGCAATGTCTCCAATCCTTGAATCCCCTTCATAGGTGGGATTGAGAATAATGTGCTTCACAGAGGCTATGATTGAATGAGGCCCTGGGTCAGAAAGCTTCAGTGCTCCAACTAGTACTGTAAAATTAGAAGGATTGTTGATCCTGAGAGGCACAAAGTAAGACCAAAAAAAAAACAAAACACCATATGTGACAAATGGAATTATTTTTGGTGCAAAACAAGATGAGTGTTGAGCCAAAAGTCCAAAAGAGATTCTTCATTGGGTTTTTTTTAATGTACTCCCCCTCCTCTCTGAGAATTGGCTGATTCTTTCTGATTCTACTGGCTGAGTCTTTCTCTGTATCTGCCAGTTCTGCAGTTTTGACTGGGATGAAGGGAAAAATAGCTAGAAAATGAAGACAAATGCAATATCCCATTGGGGAGGAGGGCATGTATTGGGAAACACAAGATACATACACTTTACTAATGTAGGAGGGAGACTGGCTGAACCAGGGGGAGGTATCAAATGGGATAGTCTATATTGGCACAACAGGACAATCTCTCCCTCTCTCCCCCCCTCCCCTCCCCCCCTCTCTCATGTAATACACACATAAACATATACAATTATATTAAGATAGAATTAAATTTATATGTTTAAAATGCACATATATGAAAATGCATGCAACCATCAAAACAAAAACACTGTTCTTGTCTGAAGTATACATTTAATAGCCTTTCAAATATTCTAAAGGAATTTTCTACTATTGATCAATTGGATTTATGCTTTTATAATTAATATTTTGTTAATTTTAAAAAAATCCTAGTTGTATAGAAAAAAACATAATGAAAACAAAATCAGTGAGGAAAATGAAAATGTAATTTGAAAGATAAGCAAAAGATTGCAAAAATAAGAAGTAAAAGTCTTTATTGAGATGCTTCTTCAACTATGAAATTTAAATTAGCCATTATCAAATTTTCAGTTTCATCTCAAACTGATTCAAATGCAGGTTGAAATCAAGTCATTTAATTTTGCAAGTTCACCACATGGCTGAATTTTTCTGGGCTTAGAAGCTAATCTTGATTGATAGTATTTGGATGAAAGACTACATGAAATCTCAAATTATTCTGAGAAGTTGAAAAAAACCAGAAGACAACAATGGCTAACCACTTATTTAAAAACCTGCAGGAATCAAGTTCAGTTTGAGGGCATTTTTATCTTTATAGTTAATATTATTGCTCTAATAATATATGGAAAGTGCAAGAACTTGTCCAGAAGATCATTAAGTATGAAGACTGACTTGAAGCCCATCCCTGCATGATATAAGAAGAAATGCCTTCTTTGTTTTCCTTAATAGCTGCGATTGTAGTGTATATAAAGAATGGTCTTGAGGAACAGAGAAAAGTTCCATTACCAATGCAGTAATCAGATAAATAAGCTTGAGCCCAGGCCAAAAAAGTAGCTTATGAAAATATCTGATATAGCCCCCATTATTTACCTGAAGGTAAAGGAGGGAAGAAGAGGAGCACATTCAGAACTGATAACATTCTGTTAGTATAGTTGTTCTACTAAAAATAGTTTTAGATCTACATGGTGTCTATATATACTACTGCATATTGCTTACAGCCATTAATCAATAAAGAGTCTGGTTTAGAAGATTGTCTGTGAACTCCACACTGGCTGGGAAGGCACTGGGAGACTTTAGAAGACTGCGTTGAAACTCTGCCAAGGATTTTGTTTCCCCAAGAAACAGGATTGAAAGATGGCCAGCAGGTTGTAGAGGCCGTACTTACAGACTAAAACAATGTGAGGCTGTGATGATCCACTGATCTGTGACAAGAGAACCGCCACAGTGATGTTCCCCATTCAACTTGATGCTCACTTGCCAAGGCCACTCTCCATCCCGGGAATCTGTACCCCCTACAATCCGGTCCAGATAGCCCTGTTTTCCACAAACTGAGCAAAAAAGAAACATTTACTGTTCCTGGTATTTCCTAATTATCTGGATTTTAGATTCTTATTCTTCTATCATCTTAAAATTGCAAACAAAAAAACCCTGAAATTTAAAAGATATGAATCTATATATTCTTAAGTGTTTTGCTGCCCTATGGCCAACTTCCTGACCATAAGCCCTATTTCTCCTTACTCCATATTTCCATTTTTTCTGTTTTAGTTTTTACTTCCCCTTTGGGCCCTCTCCTCTAGCTATGCTTAACCAAAGACCATTATCCCTGGTGTGCTTTTTTTTTTTTAACCACCCACCCACTTTTTCTTCATATTCCATATTGCCAATTCAGGAACCAGGTGTTCTCTTCCAATCTTGATCCCTTTCCAACCTCCTTCACATTTCTTAGAATCCTTTAGGTTCTTCCCACTTTTTGATGCATTTTTGGATTTTTTTTCATGTACCTCTTGAGCCTGGTGATGATCGACTGTGGTGCACGTGGAATATTAACAACATTCCATAAATGACTTTAACACTAGTAAACGCAATATTCATTTTTTTCAGCTTTAATTGAAACTTAACTATAGATATCAATGCCACGATTTCAATTATATAATTTCTACATGGCTATTCTTCAAACATTATAGTAAAATTGTATTTGTTCACATTTCCTATATTTTAGTATTTAGTGGGGCAATCTTTCTAATCAATAGCATGCTAACAAGTCAATATGCAAGCAGATATAACTGATGCTCACCTCTGGTGGCATAGTTTGGTTCAACATCTAAAAAGAAAGATATATAAAATAATGAGAGTTACAGCTTAGATTGCTATTTTAATACAATAGAAGTAATTTGGCAACTGCAGTCTAAGTATCACTTATATTTAATCTACTTATTTTATTTATTTCATTTACTTATCACATTTATCTACCTGACATATGTACAATTAAAACAAAAAAGCAGAGTTGTAAAAACCATTTTAAAAACTCACTAAAACATAAATATAAACAACACCATGGGAGAGTACATTCAAGGTCTTCGATACATTTCACAAAGTCCCAATTTCTATGGGTCATCTAACCCCTGACAAAACCAGGTTTTAAGGGATTTCCAGAAAATCAATGAGTCGGCCAATTTTACTGGGTTTGTGTGTGTGTGTGAACCCAAAGGGTGAGCGCCAGGGCACAAAAGGTTCATCCTGTGGGTCCCATCAAATGAAACTTCATAACATAAAGGACCCATAATATTCCCATTCAGCTGAAATTGATGCAATGGGTGTATGCAACTGCAGAGAAGTAATCCCTCAAATAACCATGCCACACAGGGATTTAAAGGTCAAAATCAATGTCTTGAATCAAACCCAGAAACAAGCTAGCAACTGATATAGCCCATGGAACAGAAATGTAATGTCCACTGAAGAGTGCATATAACTGCTCACACTGTGACCAGGGCATTAATAACAGAGTACAGGTAGCCCTTGACTTATGATCATAATTGAGCCCAGAATTACCTTTGTAAGTCTTGCTGGTCATGAATAGGACACCACATGTCCATGCGCATATAACCTTTCTTGCTTGTTAAGCAAATGCCATGACCATTAAGCAGCCCCATTATCCACAAGCAGGCTTTTTGCTGGAAACTGGAAATAAACACCAGTTTACAGCAAAAAATGTTGTAAATATAATGAAAAATGGTCATTAATATGGGTTGATTGATAAGTGCCCAAAATGCAGTCAGGTAATCACAGGAGGGCTCTAGCCGTTAGATTTTTGAATCCAGGTCATACATAGCCCTGGAGAAGTCCAGTTGCTAAGTGATTGGTTGTAAGTTGAGGATTACCTGTAGAGCCTACAGGAACAGACACAATTGGTGACCAACACAAAGTTGTGCAAAAGCCCTCCAAGCCACCCTGACACATACTTTTTAAGCAAGAATTGTGAGTCCATAAATATCCCAGAGTACTCATAGAGTCTTTTTGGAGTAGTGCAAGTCCATCCAGTAGAAAATATGGTAAAATATCAGATCTGGAATGCCCTCAAATCTGAGTTATTCAGTTTTGCCAGGGTTAAGCTGAAAATTGCTCTTCTCCATCCAGACTCCCATAGTCTTCAGACAGAGAAGGTTTCAATAGTTCTCCAGAGGCAGAGATGTATAATTTGATACTATCCACATAAAAATCATATGTCATCACACAGTGATTGATGCTTTCACAAAGAGGCTTAAATCAGAACTACCAAGAAGTTTGGATTTTGGATGGTTCAAACATGGTTTTGTCAATGACAATGAAAATAAAATAGTTCAGAACAATAAGAAGGTCCACAAATGTTGAATACTGTCACAAATTCATTAATTGAGAGCCAGGCTGACTCACTAGGTGAAATACCTTCTTTTTAAAGTTATCTCTTTTTGGACAGCAGATGTAGAACATAGAGATACCTGTCAAACCTAACCCAAAAGACAACATAATCCAGTAATACCTCATTTGTGCCTTAGGCCTGTCCCTGCATGACCCAAAGTCTGCTCCTCCCAGGCAAAGTTTCTTCTAAGATATCATTGAGCTTCCTCTTAAAATGAAGGTGCCATTTGATGGCTATCTCCTAAATTAGGTTCCCTGCTTATTAAGTCTTGATGGTGACAGTAGGAAGCTCTGAGTTCCCCTAATATCCCTTAAAGGTTTGGCATGGGGACTCCTAAAGTCAATTCTAATTAAAGTGTTGACTGTGAAAATTAAAATAATGATTAAAACATGCCCATAGAGTAATTATATGTCCCACATGAAAGTACAAACATAACTGTAATGAAATCAAATTTAGTTGTTGTGCTGTTCGTCTCAGTTACCCAAGCCTGCTAGCCAAATTTCCCCCTCATCTTCCCAAAACAGAGAAAAGAAATTGTACACTTTGTTTTTAAACATGTTTCATATTAGTGCCTTTGAAAATTTAGTAAATCTTTCAGAAGCTTAATACTGCGTTTTGCTAGGGAGAGGAGAGGAGAGGAAAGGAAAAGAAAAGAAAAGAAAAGAAAACAAAAAACAGAAAGTCTAGTTGCCCCTTGAAAAAAAAAGCACAAAGGAAAGGAGAGGAGAGGATAGGATAGGATTGAGCCCTGGTAGAATTTTGGCATTTAATCTAGGATATTGCATATTGCTTGTCCCATCTCTCATTAGTGAGAAACATTTGTTTCTACAAGAAGTCCATCAATACTTACTTGTCATCATATGCAGAAGCATCAGTAGCAACAATCCTCTCCCTAGCCCTTGCTGGTGGTGGCCCATAACACCACTGCTGATTTCTTTGTTTCCTTCCTTCGTTTTCCTCATACACAAAAAGGTAAGATGTGGTACTCTTACAAATAAGAAGATTAATTTAGGCTACTCAGACTTTGGATGCTTATATATATATGCACGCACACACACACACACACACACACACACCCCAGAAGGGCGTATTCATCCTAGGAATCCTGCCAGATCTTGGTATTTGCCTGCTGGGATAGTTACAAAACCTGCTGAGTAAATGTACCTTACTACTGCTTCCTTCCTTTCAAGTTACCCATTTCCCTATTTCTAGGTCTATTGTTCTATCAAGTCAGTCCAATTACTAGAATTTTTTCTTTGCCAATCATCTTCCTTATGATCCATAATCCGACCCGTTTTAAGCCCAAATATACAATACAATATACAGTGCAATCTGTATGTGTATGTTTTTCTTACTCTGACTGCAGCTAGGAGTTCCTCTATTAACCAGTCAGTTGATATCCTTTCAGCTTGTCCAACCTTCCTTTTCTTCCAAAGCTTTCATGGCTCTAGTATTACATTTAGGGTTACTTGAAAAGTAGCTGAGATGGATGATCAAGTTTTTTTTAAAGGAATTGATCTATAATCAAATGACACAAAAATACCTATTTTAAAAATCTGTTTTGCAATGATCAGTAATGACCTTACTGATCATTACAATTTTGTATCAAGATTGTATCCTGAAGTAGGTTCCATTGAATTCTAGTAGACTTTGCTTCGAAGCAAAACCGGGGGGGGGGGGGGGGGGATAAATAGGGAATATCCTGTTAACCAAAACTTTATATGTTGCTTTCGATATGTGGAATAAATGATGGGACAAGTGGTTTAAAAACAAAATCATGATTACTTGTCTGCAGCTTTCAGCTCTACTAATCAATATCATATCATCTATGGCTATCTACAACACTTAAGCTTTACTGATAAGGAATGTTTTCAATCTCAGCCCTTGAAGATGGGATGATTGCTTACCCAATTTAATGTCTTTTAGCAAATCTAATTTGAAGATTTGATCTGAATTAGGATGATTTTCTAAACCAAATTAATGATTCGAATATGATTAAATTTTTAGTAGATTGATTTTTCTGCTACTAATTGTTTTTTGTAGGGTAATGCAAAGGCTGATGGCAGAATTTTTTTTGTTGGGATAGAATTCTTATGGAGTAAGGAAAAATGAGTTAATCCTACCTAGCAACTATTTTAAAATAATGTCCCTCAAATTGGTGCTTCCTAGAAGTGTTGTGACTAAAACTCACATGGATATGATGACTAATAACTGTGTTGGTTAGGAATTCAGAGAAAAGTTGTTACAACATTTCTGGGGAAAACATATTTCATTTCATAAGATTTTTATATGGTCTGCAAAAAATCCTAATAGCCCCTGGAAAAAAAGTTATTTAGTTGGTCATCTGATATTTTGCAACCAAAAATGAATACAAATAAATCTACGATTCAATTCTACATAATCATGATTAGTAATATTCTTATGTACATGTGTGCATACATAATTAATAATTATTGAACTATATCATTAATGAGAAGCCAGCTAGAGAGACAGTTGAGTTAATGGATGATAATAATGAAAATATTAAGGATGTACTATATATTGACCATACAAGGAATCTGAATGGATTTTCTCTCTCTCTTTTTCACATGGAAAAGAAGTCTGAAGTGATATTTTTAGAAGTAGAGTAGGAGGGATTGTGTAAAATATGCTCATAAAAAATGGGCATTCTCTCCAACATTTTCCTAAATTTCTGGAGGAAAAGATTTTAAATTCTGTGGAGGAAAAAAAGCATGGCCAGAATGGCTACATTTAAAAGAAGCTAAGAATCTTTGCTAAAAAAAATCAGCCTAGAAAACTTTTTGAAAACAATAGACTGAAAGTCGAATATAGAAAAGAAACAATTCAACATAGATTTTTTAATTGGAAGAATAAGCCAATGCATGGTCAATATTTGAATAATGTAGAAGGAAAACTGATAAATCCTACACAGAGTGTTAAAGAAAAAAACCTGAAAGCTTTATTTTAGTGGCACAAAAAAAAAAAAAAGCCTTGCCAATTAACTGCATGAAAGTAAGCATGTAGTAAACAACTGCAAATGTCACTTTTGTAGTGAAAAGAATGATAAGCAGTTGCAGCAAAAATTTTCAAACTGACTATAAGCAGCATGATGATCAAGTTGGCAAAATTATTTGTTAGAAACTTTGCCAAAAGTTTGCATTCAAATGTAGTAACGCCTACTGAGAAGATAGTTTAGTTGAGAAGGTTTTGGAAAATGAACAAGTTAAGGATTTATGGGACTAAGGCAGTGGTGGCAAACCTTTTCGGCACTGAGTGCCGATATGGGAGCATGTGCATGTGTGTTGGAAACCAAAAGAGCAGCTCCCTGGTACATGTGCAGGAGTACTAGAAACCAGAAATTTAGCAGGCCACCTGGTCTTCCGGATTCTAACACAGATGCACGCATGAAGACCAGCTGGCTGGTGCGTGCATGTGCAGCGGGGAGCTGCTCTTCCAGTTTCCTGCACTTCTGCGTGTGTGAAGACTAGCTGGCTGACACTTCCATTTTTGTGAAGACCTGCATGTCAGAACCCAAAAGAGCAATGGGTGACAGCTGGCATGCCCAGAGAGATGGCTCTGCATGCCACTTCCGGCACATATGGCATAGGTTCGCCATCACGGGACTAAGATCTTGCCATCTTGTTTATAACATGCTTGATATAACTAATTATAAAGAAGAATGTCTACTTCACTAATGTTGCTATTCTGGGTGATGATAGGCCTAGGGAAAAAAATTTGGAAAACAAATTACAAAATACTGGGACCTGCAGATAGAATTCCACTTTTGTCTGTGATCATCCACCATTTCTTAATATTAATCAGTGGAATGACTTGCCTCCAGAAGTTGGGGGTACACCAACACCACAGATTTTTAAGAAGAGATTGGACAACCACTTGTCTGAAATAGTATAGGGTTTCCTACTTGAGCAGAGGGTTGGATTAGAAGACCTCCAAGGTCTTTTCCAACTCTGTTCTTCTGTTCTGTTAAATTGAATAACCATAGGAAAAGAAATCTGTGGTAATTCCAATTGTAATTGGCACTCTTGGAGCAACACTAAAGGACTCCCTTGACTCTGGAAATATTGAATTTATCAGACCAGAACATGCTACTTTTACAAAACCAAAACCAAACCTTTATGTTCTTGGTTAGGATTTGAATTATTAACTTTCCACCAGTCTCAGACTGAGAATCTAAAAATAGATTATCCATACATTGATGGCCATACTATCAGGAGTCACCAGGATGAAGCCTACAAGTACCTGTGCATTTTACAGTTGGACAACATCAAGGAAGGACAAGTTAAAAATATGATTATTAAAAAAGATATCCAAAAAGTGGGAAAATTGATGAAAACATAATTAAACAGTGGAACACCATCAAGGCCATCAATATCTGGGCCCTACTTCTGCTGGAATTGTTAAATGGACAGTTTGGGCTGAAAAACAAGAAAACTTAGGACTGTTCACTATGTATTATGTTGATAAGGGTACACTTGCCCCATAGAAATAAAGGCAGTGACTCACGTCAAGTCAAACAAACTGTCAAAGAAGAAAAGCAGGGATTAGCTGATTACATAAAAGGCAGTTAAGAATAAGCATTAATGCTGGTTAAAAATTAGAATTAACTGAATGTACAGGAAAGAAAACACAAATATAAAAAAGTAATAACATAGACTTCTGGCAAGGAAAATATTACACGTTCAATTTCTACAAAAAATTGAAAGGAAAATGAATAAAGATATGAATGAATGAATGGATCATTAAAAAAGAAATGGAAGGCTTGTTTTTGGTTGCTCAAGACCAAGCTATTTGAACTAATGGAATCAAGGCTGGAATAGAAAAGTCATCAAATGATTCAAAGTGAAGACTGTGCAAAAAAGCAGAATAAATAATACATCTATACTTAACTAATGCAAAAATATCATACAAATTGATATAATGCAGTTGCCAAAATAATTCAGTGGATTATCTATAAATATTATTATGTGCCAGTGATGAAAAATTGTAGGAAGATATAGTTGAAAAAAATAGATGAAAATGAGCAGATTAAAATATTTTCAAATGCAAACTGATAAAATCTTGGCATACCTTATATTTAACTGTGGCTGATATGATAATAACAATAGAAGATAACAAATGGGAGAAGTTCAGAAAATATCAAGATCTGAAAATTCTAATTAAAACATTATGGCAAAAACTGGCAATGGTAATGCCACTGGTTAATGGCACATTGGATGCCAGACCCCTTCCCCCAAATATTCAATGGTACTTAAAAAATCTGCTCATTTACAAAATTTCCATCTGTTAGTTACAAAAGGCCACATTGCTTGGTTCTGTACATGAAGCCCAATACCAGCTAAAGAACTGACAATTGTAATTTCACATTGTTTTGAATATTGTATAATAATACAGATAAAATTGCCAAATCCAGTGGACGTCTGGCTGACTTTATGATGAACCATAATAATAACAATAATTTGCATTTTTACAAGAATGTTGATGTAGGCTAATATGAAAGAGGAGAGTGGGAGACATGATGCAAATGTAGAAATTATGCATAATCAGGGGCATTTGTGGCAAGCTGAGATGTTAAAATTAAGAAAGACATAAGATGATATCATGCTATAAGCTTCTCCCTTATGTGCTTGTTTAGAACAATGTGACACAAGAACCAAAGGAGTGAAGTTTGCAGTGTGATGCTGTGATGTACATTTTGTCATTAGTTCCTCCTTCCTCTTCGAAGGACACTCATATGCATGGCAGAAATAATGCAATAAATTTATGACATTCCTTGAATCATTCTTTCTTTCTTTTTTTTTGAAAATTTTATTGATTTTTAAAAACAAACATAAACAAACAAAACATAAAAACATAAAACATCTTTTTTTGAAAGCAGCTTGATCCCAGGTTACATCTCTTCGTACAGACACAAATTCAAGTTCATGCTCATTTTTATATACTATTCCATATCTTATTACCATTCTACATTTTCTATATAGCTTCTCCCTTCTTTTAACTTTCTTAATTTTATTTTATTTATTTCATCTCAATTCAGATCATTATACTTATATTCTTTGTCTGTCCTGTTTCAGCTGTCTATTATCTTTTCTCATTAAACAAAATTTCTCCTGTAATCACTGATTGGAGTATGATGTCTTTATATCTTTCCCCTAAAATTATAACACTTAGTATAATACATAGCTTTTGTTCAGATTCTGCTTGGTACATTCTAAAACTACACACTGTATTTTTAAAAAAGAAAAAATTATGAATATATAATATAATTAAAACAACAATCCATACCAATTCAATTCTATTGTTAATATTAATATTCATTTAAA